TGCCGACGCTTTCTTAGCACTAACAGATACGGTCACTTTACAAATTGATGTGATCAATTCTTTTACCCCATAGTTACTTTGTCATATATTGATGGGGGCCCAACTTACCCCGGTCTCCCCTACCTCAACTTTGTACCTCCATCTTTTATGGCTGCATGCTGGAAATAAAATTCCTATTACCGAAAAGCAGAGTATTTGCCATATTCAATTGACACCGCACAAAAAAAGATTCCAGAGACAGCCAGATATTTGTTTCAATCATCGCTGAATGTTAAAATACGTAGCTTTGAAAGGGTGAGCGAGAAATCCAGGTGCAGCCACTGAGCACAAACGATGTGAAATCACTCTTTCACAATTAAGCGTAACTGATAGCAGAACGAAATCGTCAGTAGCTTGTGTACGTGGCCATAAACCAAAATCTGGATATTCGGAAAACCTGCCAGGGATACAAACAGACATCGATTATAGCTTCCGTCTATTATATTTATAGGAAACTGTGAGCTGAATTACCGAAAGGCACTCGATAGTGCCACACTAATACAACACGAAGGTGGTGCATACTATACGTATAACAAGGCAAGTATACCTGTGAAGTAGTTTCAAAGACCACCCCTTATCGGAAAACAATGCCGTCCTTTTGAAAATGTAATTTTTTAGAGTAAACACATTGACAAAATTACCAATTTTTAAAGTTTTTTAATCTATGAAGATGGAGACTGGTGAACATCATTCGGTGCCATACAAACAGAAATTCAGAACACAAAACCAGATCTACAGAGCATAAACTTTTCTCCAAGGCAGTGTTCGTTAGACTTTCATATTGCATAGAACCTTATTTTCGCCTGGAAATTACAACAATATTAATTTGCCTTATTCGCCAGTATATGTCATACTTGTGAAAAGTACGATCCAGATCTGGTTTTGTGTTCTGAATTTCTGTTTGTATGGCACCGAATGATGTACCTTGGAGATAAATGGAAAAGGGAGGATAAATCCATTTTTTAAGTCTCCACCTAAATTTGATGTCTTTAAAATATATTACATCAATTTTCAGGTGGAAAAGGATTGCAATGATCTTGGTAAGTACCATGATGAATTTGAATTGATTTCTTTAGTTTTTGAACACAACATAAATGGTAGAGTGTAAGTATTGTAAGTAAATGTACTGGAAAGTGAGTTTAAACGCTGTTTTAAATGAAATTATCGTGCCTTTCCAGAGGGCTCTGGTTTAACTAATATCGATATAGATGGTTTTGGTCAAAAAGAAGTTTATTGCGACAACGGATGGGTTGTTGTGATGAGACGATACAACAGCACGATGTCCTTCCACAGAAATTGGAATGCATATAAAGTTGGTTTCGGTGACCCACGTGAGCAGTTTTGGATTGGAAACGATGCTCTCTACGCATTAACCAATCAAGGGGATTACTCCATGCAGATTGACATGCTGTCTTGTGATGGAAACGCCTACTACGTCAGATGGAACTTGTTTCGCATCCAAGATGAAAGCCAGAAATATAAGGTTGCTGCTATTAGTGTCGACTCGTACAACACTTCTAGCAATAGTTATCTAACAGAAAATGTAAACTGGAAATTCGGAACTTATGATAATGACGAAGGCCACTCACGGAATTGCAGTGATGATCACGGTATGACTTAATAACACTAAATGCACATTTTGTATAAAGTTAAAGTTGATATCAACTAAGATCATCTATATTTTAGCGCAGAGTGTATCAAGTCATACGTCAGTCTCCTGTTCCTCTTTTTTCTTTTTTCACCCAGATTATCCTTTTTTTTTTTTATTTACTTTTTTAGTTCTAAATGCTGTAACTCTATTACAAAACTTTACCAAAAAAAGGGGAAAAAACAAACGCAGAATCTGTAAAATGATATCATTCCTGACATGTAGCGTATACGGCGATTTCAGGCAAAAGCATAAGTACAATAAATCGTTTTGGTTACCCTTAAATTCTGCTCCTCTTCCACACAGTCGATAAAGCGTTTAACTTTTGTGCTTTTGGCGAGTGTAAGAAATAGTTTTGTCCATCATTGTTGGAAAGAAAACTCTACGTGTTATTTAACAGGGGCGGATCCATATATATTTTCTGACAGTCATCCAAATTATCTTTGTTGATCCATCACCTATTTTTGACCGTCTTCCAACAGAAAAAAATAGATACCCGTCAGTATAAAATTGAAAATATGACCGTCTTCCAGAAGACCCAGAAGACGGCCTAAATCCGCACCTGCGTGTATTACTAGGAATTCCACTTTTAATCATTTCCTTTTTTAGAAAGAAAACAACATCAAATTTTCTGGTGAAAGGGCAAATGTAACTTATACACCAAAGTTATGATACACTTTGCCCAATGAAACAAAAAAAAAAAATTACTGATGGGGCACATAATGGCGTTAACGGGGGGATGACGTAAAAGTCATGTGCAAAGTGCCCTGAGTGGCAGGGCACTGTAAAGCTAGCTTGCTCACTATACCTTTTCATATGTTGGCTTTACGGTATTGCTAATATGGCTTATATATGAAATCAAGATCATGCTGGCAATACCGAAATCTAGAACTTACGGTAGTGCAAAGATGAGAAATGTTAGGTTCTTTTGCGTGCAGGATTCAGACACAGAAAATTTTCTCTGATTTTGGCAGGGAGTTTTTATCTATTGTTTTTCCTGGGCGGAATAGATCCGTTTGTTTCAAATTTGTGTTGCGTTTATAGGTTGGCAACATAGAAGTGTTTAGCAATAAGGTTTCGTTTTGTTTTGTATAAAATAAGCTGCAATTAACTACTAAATAAAACAGTGGCATCCTTCTATAAGTGCCAAAATCATTTTTGATTTTTTTGATAACCGTGAAAGAGTTTTGCAAAGAAGTACAGATGGCTTATTCATTTCAGGCGGCGGGTGGTGGTATACGGACTGCACGAGGTGGCATTTAACAGGCTACTACCCCAGCTGTGCCGGCAACAGCAACAACCACAGAACCATGAAGTTTGCCTCTATCACTGGGAATAACTGCAACAACGGATGCTTATTACAGGCTGCTACTTTGAAAATCCAGCGTAACACTTAGACCCTCCTCTGCTGATAATTTTGATATAAAATACCGTCTCCGTAGAACACAGAGACCTTGAGAATAATTTGAGGGAATAAATGCACGAATTTATTTCAGATTTTTTTGGAACTTATACATTAAAGAAAGTGCTTTAATTTAAAACTCAAAAAATTACTGTGATAACTCACGTGGTCCAGCGAAGATCTTCTCTATAATCGGTCGCTATCCTTGTAGAAAGTTGATGAAATGCGTAGAAAGACAATGGCAGCTATGTCAGCTGCTGATATCACGGGCGATGTACTTAGATTGTTAACATTTCAATGCAATGAATGTATATACCGTTACCTCTAAATGTTCCTAGAGCAAAACAAAGAATAAACTATAAACGGAAATTTATTACTCTATCAAGTACAAACAGAGATACCCTCTCCAAGGATTTTCACTACAGGTTCACAGATTTGTCTATTGTTAATTCATGACACTTATCTATTGTGCGTTAAGAAAAGATAATATATTTAATATGCAGCCCAGATAGAGTACTTGCATTGTGAAAATTGGGGATTTTATCTTAAAATAAAGGTCTTAGCTTTTTTTTTTTTATTCCTGTGACATCCATTTAATGTGTCTTCAAAACATCTAATTATGCTTGAAACACAGCAACTTCATCGTGTGACGTGATATTGGGGTTTTTGGGACAAAAACATCATTTCAATTTCCACTAGCGGCAATTGCCGGTGACAATACAGACATCTGATCTCGGACGCCGACCTCGACAGTGCCGACAATCGTCTTCATCGACACGAACACTGTGTGCTACATGTATCTGGGTTCATTAAGCATTTACTTTCCAACTTTCATGTCGTAGGCCTACTGTCTCATATCATGGACATAATAAGAGATCTCTTATTATGTCCATGCTTATATTGAATGGGTAGCGCACCAACTTTTACACATTTGGACGTTTTTTTAATGATTCACCCCTTCTTAGGGGCTTGTTAAAACTAAAACCGTCCCATTGTGCTCTTTAACGTTAGGCCTAAAAGTGAAAGCAAACTAAATCTCGGCTTAAAACAAAGTCATAGTAAAATAAATAATTAAATAAACTATATCTAGGAACGCCCCATGTCGGCTTCGATTGTATATTGCAGCCATGTACAAGTATATCCAAACTGGCCCTTTCTGTGACTAGGTAGAAAGTTTGCATTTGATCCGTAAGTTACCAACAAAGCTCCGCGGCTCCGTAATAACTCCGCTGGCTTGGCCACGGCGGGAGACTAGAACACGGGTTTGAATTCTAGAAGGTCCTGAGTTATTCTTTTTTGTGTGAAATAATTTCTAAAAATTGCGTAGGCGGTGGGCGGTCAGTCACGGCGCAGTCGGTAGCGTGCACCGCAGCCAGAAAAACCGAAACACATCACCATGGTAACGGAAAGTCACGCGTTCGAATCCCAGATGACGCATGTCCGTTCCACACATAGCCTATAGCCTATCAGCTGGCCCCGAAATCGGAAAGGTGCGAAAATCAATGCTGGCCCTCGTGGGTCCGGACAAATTACCTTTTGCATAAAAAAACCCGTACACGTGTATTAGCTCAGAAAAATGATCGATTTGCCAACAAATAGGCCTACTTGCTGTTCATTATCATTAAGGCTGCGTCGTCAATAATAGGCCTAGATCTATATAGCTATTCTTCGACTAAGTTTAAATTTTTACAAAATTTGAGCCCGACGTTACGTCCTGGCGCGAGAAAACGACGTTATATCACTCCGCATCGACAGTATGTGTCCTACTGAAGAGAAAAGAAAAGCTGAACTCAATATGAAAATTTAGGGCTGATAAAATGCAGCTCCGGTAACGAGGCTATTCTTAGGAGGGTAACTGACGTAGCTCTTGCGGTCTTGGAGGAGAAAAAAGTTTCAATGTTTACAAATCAGTGGGTCACAGCACGAGCAAGGGTCGTGGGTCACGGGGTTGTAATTCGATTGTATAAGGTTGCATGTGCATGAATACTCTAACGTGAGGAGATTTGCCTTCTCCCCTGCCTTTGGATTTTTAAACCCACTAGTGTCTTTTACAGAAGTAAGCAGTTGTGAATCTGCCGATACAAGAAAGGTAAAATGATCACTGAATAATATGAAACGGAGACATTTTACTGCATGGTGGTTTCCACAGGCACAGCGGATAGTGTACTCGATTAATTTAAGTACTGTTTTAATATTTTAGTATAGAAACTTACAGAGTAATCAAGTAATTTAGACAGTGTGGACTCAGGGCTCACTGCTTGCAGTTGTGACAGGGATAGAAATCCTAGGAATAAAATTTGGGATGCCAGTATGATAAGTACAGGTTTGTGTTGGACGGAGCATTAGGGTTAATATATGGGACTAATGTCAACATCTGCACAAGGTAATGGGGAATTCAACAGACTGCGGTTCCTAGTTATGGTGGACTACCATTCCTGTCACACTGGTATTTATTATTGTAATGTTCTCCTGTGTCTTTTTTTTAATCACTAGATGCCACTGCCATTGGTCCTACTACACAATGTTAGTCCAGTATTAACAAAAAGGATACTAAATGTACAGTAATGGCAGTCTTTTCTATGGGGAAAGTCATCACTCTTTCAGATACATAATTCTGAAATCATTAAAAAAAATATTCAGGAGAGCACTTTTGGAGCTTCAACTGAATAGAACTATTATATAGGGTGGCCTGCTTTTCATTTTTGTTGCTATACAGTACATGTACCAGTGCCAGTCAATAGGGATGTTCCAATTTCAAGACATTATGACTTGCAAAAATACAGTATCTATATAATTCAATTTTTTTTTACTGTACACAGGCAATGAGTAAGAAGACAATCATCATCACAGGAGCCAACACGGGCATTGGATTCGAGGCTGCCAGAATACTGTGCAGATCAGGGGACAAGTATGAGGTGATCCTGGCCTGTAGATCCGAGGAGAAAGCCCAGGCAGCTGTGAAGGCTATCAAAGAGGAGAGTCCCAATGCAGATATCATGTTTATGAAGGTAGGTTATTAATGGTGATTTAATGTGAGCTCATCAACTAAGATAGGTTTACTGGAAGTCTCTTGTGAATTTGTGAATTTTTCCCAGGCTTTTGCACCTACATGTACCCCTGTCACTACCTGCTGAAATTGGCTAGACTAGCAGAATACATTCAGCGGGTAGGTCATAATGCTTTGTACAGGTGGGCCTGTGTGCGTGTGTGTGTGTGTGTGTGTGTGTGCAGCTACATGTGCAAGTGCATGTACCTGTATCTATGTGTTTGTCTATACAAAATAAACTGCTTATTGCTTGGATACATGTAACGATGTATAATATTTTGTATAAATATAAATACATAGGTATATAAATATTGGTCTTCAGTTAAGTGGTATGTAATATTCCAGTTGGACCTGGCTTCCCTAGACTCAGTGCGCCAGTTTGTAGACAACTTCTTGGCAACTGGCAAGAAGCTCCACGTGTTGTGTAACAACGCTGGCATGGCCACCAACTTCTCCGACAATGTTCGTCATCTGACCAAAGATGGATTTGAGATGACTATGGGGACAAATCATTTTGGTAGGTTATGACCTCTGCTGATGGAATTATATATCGGAGACCCTTTTCATATTGTGCAGTATATGTACAGTGTATCTGTAGTGAATCCTTCTGACTGGTGCTAATATGTGAGTACACTGCAGTGTGTTTTACAACCAGTCTGCTTAATTCTTACTGTTTGGACTTATCAAAATAAGCTTGGTTAACAGGCTGTGTAGAGCATGATTGAGGGCTCCTGTTTAAATTATTCTTTTCATATACCTTGTATTATTTTTCTAGGCCACTTTCTGTTCAGTATTTGAGGGCACTGTTTATTAAATGTGTATGTGTATTATTTTTCTAGGCCACTTTCTGTTAACCAATCTTCTCCTGGACAAGCTGAAATCAACTGCGGCAAGTGATGGAGAGGCCAGAATAGTTGTTACTTCTTCAGGAATGCATGATATAAATGGCCAGCAGAATAGAAGAGGTGGGCCTTGGACTTTAGATTTTTTATTTTGTCTTAGAAATTATGTATTCCAGTTTAACGGTGAAGAACAAAAGAAGTTTTTAACATACATGTGCTAAAAGAAACTTGAAAATTTTTTGTGAGCCAACAGTGACCACATATACTTGTATGAAATTGTAGTCTAAAAATCTCTTAGGATTGTGTAATACTTAATTGCTATAAGTATAACAAGCTTATTGTTAGTAGATAAATAAGTACACTGTACTCTTTGTCTTTAAGCGTTTATTGGTCCAACTTGACAATGATCGCTATCTGAAACGGAAGATAAATTACATAAGTCTACATAAATAATAATCCTATATCTCCCCCCAAGTCTTTAGGTTCACTGATAACCAAAGTCAGTAGAAAGACTGAAATGTTTCAATGATCCATGAGAGGTCACTAGTGTTTGAAAACAAGTAAACTACAAAGTAACAGTTAAACTGAATATGCAAATGACAACAGGAAAAGCAAACATTGGTGTGCAACTACACAGGAGTTCAAATGTTTATGACAGTTCATAGTCTTTTTGCCAAGCTGGGGGTCGAGTGGCACGAGTGGAGCGTCTAGGTTGATCCATGGTAAGAGGCTGGGACATTCCAGGTTGACTATCCACTATCCTGGGGTATGGAGTGGTGCAAACACGTGTGCTAACACTGACTGGCCTAGGTGGAGATGCATTCCCCAAAGGTAAAAGACGGCGCTTTGGGGTGACGGTCCCTTTGGATGGCGTATCTGTGGAGGGTGAGGGTGTGTTGAACAGTTGAGGAACGGGTGGCGCAGTCAATGACGGCGGAGTTTCACACTGCGTTTGTGTGTCATGAGACTGTGGGGTAGCCTTGGCCTTAGGTGTTGCAGGTAGGCCAGGGATTTCTTCCTTGCGTTCCTCCTGATCAGTGGCAACCTTGGCAGGGAGTGTTGGAACAGAGCCAGGGATTTCCTTCCTTGTCTCCTGATCAGCT